ACTGGGTTAAAAGAAAACTGGGCAGCTGGGAGCAGTGGCTCATGCCTGTAATCCCAGCACTTTGGGAGGCCGAGGTGGGCAGATCCTGAGGTCAGAAGTTTGAGACCAGCCTGGCCAACATGGTGAAACCCAGTCTCTACTAAAAATACAAAAAAAAATTAGCCAGGCATGGTGGCGCACAATTGTAATCCCAGCTACCTGGGAGGCTGAGGCAGAAGAATTGCTTCAACTCAGGTGGCAGAGGTTGCAGTGAGCTGAGGGGGAGGTTGCAGTGAGCTGAGATTGCGCCGCTACACTCCAGCCTGGGTGACAGAATGAGACTCCGTCTTGGGAGAAAAAAAGAAAACAGGCCGTGTGTGGTGACTCACGCCTGTAATCCTAGCACTTTGGGAGGCTGATGCAGGTGGATGCTTGAGCTGAAGAGTTAGAGACCACACTGGGCAACATGGTAAAACACTGTCTCTACTAAAAATACAAAAATTAGCCAGGCATGATGGTGTGTACCTGTAGTCCCAGCTACACTTAGGAGGTTGAGGCTAGAGGATCACCTGACCCAGGGAGGTGGAGGTTGCAGTGAGCCAAGACTGTGCCACTGCACTCCAGCCTGGGAGACAGAGTGAGACCTTGTCTCAAAAAAAAAAAAAAAATATATATATATATATATATATATATATATGTATACATACACACACACACACACACACACACACACTAAACCAAGAAAAATATTGGCGACAGATACAGCAATTAATGGACGAATTTTGTTAATAAACTAAAAACCAATAACCAAAAAGCACACAAACTTCTTACAAATCAAACAAAAAACTAAACCATACAAACTAACCAATGGACAACCCACTATAAAGTGGACAGAGGATGTGTAATGTCAGCTCATTGCAAAAGTGAGACCAATGGTCAATAAATATCTGAAAATATGCTCAATTTCAACAGCTATTAGAGAAATTAAAATAGCAAAGAGATACAAATTTTCCTCATGCTAGATGAAGAAGCATTACATAGCTATATGATTTGGAGCTGAATACGATAGGGAAAAAACAGGCCCTCTATACACTGTTTGCGGTAGTATAGTTTGGCCTAATTTTCACAGAAGTAAATGTGGCTTTACTTAACAAAATGTTAAATGCATATACTTGTTAACCCAGCAGTTCCACTTCAATGAGTTTATTTATGAATATACTCACATAAGTGATTAAAGATGTTCACAATGACGTTCATTGTAACATTAATTGTAATAGAAAAAAAACCCTAGACAGAATGTAAATGCCCATCAGTACATGACTGGCTAATAAAACTGATATATACAAAGAACTAGTACCCAGCTGTTAAAAAAAGGAATTTGCAACTACAGAAAGATGTTAAGAATATAACAAGTAGGCCTGGTGCGGTGGCTCATGCCTGTAAGCCTAGCACTTTAGGAGGCCGAGACAGGTGGACCACTTGAGGTCAGGAGTTTGAAACCAGCCTGGCAAACATGGTGAAATCCCATCTTTACTAAAAATACAAAAAATTAGCAGGGCATGACAGCACACAACTGTAATCCCAGCTACTCAGGAGGCTGAGGCATGAGAATCTCTTGAACCTGGGAGGCAGAGGTTGCAGTGAGCTAAGATCGCACCATTGCACTCCAGCCTGGGTGACAGAGTGAGACTCTGTCTCAACAACAACAAAAAAAGTTTCCAAACCATATGCAGAACATAAGGCCATTTGTGTTAAAATATATTTTATAATATATATGGCATTATATGCACAGAAAATTTCTTGAAAGACCCACATAAATAATTATTGTTCCTTCCATGGAGTGGGAAGAGACTGAGAAGGCAGGGAATGGAAGGAATGGGTTGGGAGACTCCAATTAATTGAGAAAATTTAACTTTCATTTTCTTTTTACACTGTTTTAACTTTGTTAAACATGAAGATATATTTATCTTTATGATCAAGAGTGTTTGAACAGTGCATATACACACTGTGTATGTATGCATACATATATATTTGCATGTCATTTATTTGTCACCATGAAGAGTGAGAAAATATGTAAGACAGTTCTGCTCACAGTCTAACTAGGAAGATGTAAATGTGTGGAAAGTTAACAAAAAGAATTATAATATCTACTGTCTATCACTCAGTAGATACTGATCAGATCCCAATAATTGATATCCACAGTGGTATTCTGGGAGGTAAGAAGAGGAAAGTCACTATGACTGCAATAAATACAGAAGACAAAGGCTTGAACATCTGGCAGCATCTGGTCCCAGATACCCTCAAGATTTCACAAAGAGGAGTGCTTATTGCTGATAAGAATCAAGCTGGGTCAGCCTTGCAGATGACCAATCACCCTCTGCAAGTTGTCTCTTTGGCTGCAAATGGCTCAAGACCATGCTGAAAGTTATACCTGTTCTGCTTTTGGAAGTTGCCTGCTTGCTGGCTGTAAAAAACGCTGATAGCCTGTTTCTGTTAGGAAATGTCCAAGGCCCTATAGTACAGAGAGAAACTGCTTCATCATTAGTGCTGACCTTGTACATAAATCAAAAACCTAAACTCCCTGTATGGTATTAATCCCTACTAGGTGTCTGAAACTGCATTATCAGGAAGTTCCTTTGGTTACTTTGCCCTCTTGGAGAAGCTAAGAGTTATAGCTAAAAGCACGGAGTTAGACTGACTGGATGTAAATTCTAGATACATCACCCACTATCTGTGTTTCCCTAGGAAAATAACCTAATCTCTCTGTGCTGTGGTTTCTACTTCTGTAAGGTGGGGATAATTATAGCATCAACAACCTCATGGACTGTTTGAGGAACAAATGACTGAATAATCTACAAAATGAGAAGGACAGCTATTGGACACATAACTCACATAATTATCATTTACAATATTACTTATTCTTACCAGAGAGAAGAAGATCCTAAAAGCTTCCAGAGAGAAACAACAGTTATACAAAGCATTGGGAATAAGAAAATAATGACAGTGACATAGCAACAGTAACAATGGAAGTCAGGAGAAAAAGGAACAATG